ATTTGTCCTCAGAATTAGGAGAAATCCAGGACTTATTTGAATAAAATCTAAAGGATAGAGTAATTCAGGAGTGTACTGAAATCTCATTGTTACTGTGATACTTGGATTAAATTGAAATGTTGACAAATATATTTCCGAAGAAAGTAGAAAAAATATTTTCTAGATTATACAAATAAAAATTTCTATTATAAAGTAGAAGAGTAAAAACGTGTTTAGTGAGGTAATGTTGGAATGGCCTGTCACTTGGTAAAGACTACAAAAAACTGTAAACTGTATTGGAAAGACTCCTATACATTATAGCATATTAAATTAAGATAAAAAAATAACTTGGACTGCATTAATGTCTACAGTAAGAATTCAAACTAAAGGCTGGTTTGTTAATACAGCCATATTCTGGTCTGTAGTTATCTGAATACCATTCACTGAAAATTCATGGAGGGATTTCTGAATCTGAAATTCAAATGGAAATAGGTGTGAAAAATCTTAAAGTCTTTATCTGGCATTGTCATAATTCCAGAAGTAGTTTGTATGATAAAATGGGTCTGACTAACCTAATCTGCTCTCTGTTTTTCACAGTGCATCTTCTGGCTTTTTGGTGAAAATAGGATTAACACTTTGTATGCTATTAGAAAAAAGTCCATGACCTTTATAGTCAATTAGGAGATTTCAGACCTGGGTGGAATTCATAGCGGGGGGGGGGAGGGGAAGAAAACCCATACTCCTGTAATTGGCAGGTTTGATTTGAATAATTGGAAGTCAATTAATGTAAAAATCCCATGCTGTAGTTTTCAAGTAATTTTTAAAGCAGAATTATTATGTTGTTCATCTAAAGTCTTCCAAAAGATGTTTTACAAAGATATTTTACAGATCTAAGAAGATATTGAGCTGAATTTGATTGTGGCATCCTTTCATTAACTCTTATTATTTATGGTTGCATTTATTTTAAAGAACAAGGTAATATATATTAATTAACTCTGTTTTTCTTGTGATTGAAGAAAAAAGAAATCCATCTTTTAAAACCTGTTTTTCTCTCTCTCTTGGGTTGGTAACTTAGTTTCTTTTTTAAGTATTCACATAACATTCTATTTTGTTACTCTCTCTAAATATTAATTATCTTCTGTTTAGGAATACCTTCCTTTTTCATTTGTATGAAATCCTTCTCAATTTAAAGGTTTGTTCAACCAGTTTAGATAGATGACCAAATATGCAAAACTGTCTTTCACAGTAATTGCAATTGCTGTATGATAAAACTGGGCTATATAAAATAAAACCAACAGACATTCTGATTTTCTATACAGTGAGAAAAATTATATATAAAGTACATATACCACTGACAGCTGAAAAGGCAAGTATTTCTGTGGAAGAACAGCAAGAAATTCACTGAAACAAGAGTTTGCAAAATATCAGTGACAGATATGAAAACAAAACCACATCTTCACAGCTGATCATTTTGTGCAATAAAATTGCTAAATGAAACAGATGTCTCTCCACTTCTCAGCTTGGCTGACATGAATCACAGATGCCCATTAGCCAAAATAACTATAGGAAACACTTTATACTAAAAGCAGCAGAGAAATATGTCACAGAATGTTTTTTACTAGAGTAAAATGACAAAACTTTGCAGTGCTGATTGACACACTGCTCACGCATTTCAGAGCTGGGTAAAGATTTGGTGTTCAAGGCTGTCAAGCACACAGGGTGGGCTTTAGCCATCTTGATTCCTCTAATAACATCTGGATTGAATTAAGAGCTAAGCAAATGAAATGACAGGTATTATCTTTCCTTGCTTGTATATAACACACATTTTCACTCCTTGAATTATGTCTGGAAGCCCTGTTCATTTTATCTATAGCTTTGTGTTTCCTGATCACCCAAGAACACCTTCTGAAATGTCATTCTGAATTTGAAGTTTTTCTACTATAACTGTGGACTGTTATGTGCATACATAAAATTTAAATTGGATTACCAATCCAAAGTTACTTTATTAATATTTTTCAGAAAATGTTTGTTTTCATAGTTTAAAGTGTTCTTCTAAACTATGCAGGTTAGTATTCCTTATAAATATGTTACTCTGAAGTGCAACTATCAACTCCTTAAAAGCCTTTATGTGGATGTCTCAAAATCTTATATTCAGTCCCCTTTCTGGTCTTTTGGCTAATATAGGTGGGAAGAAAACTATAGTTTGAATTTGGTGGAGTGTCGTGGTTTGGCTGAAACCAGGACATGGAGGTAAAAGGTTAATGATTTTGTGAGTGTTGTGAAAAGAATATTTTTCACTTCCAAACCAGTTTAGTAAGAATTTTTGACACACACATAGCTACAGGAGAAGCAATGGAAAACCATCAACGTTGATAGTACCTTATATATTAGGCAAATAAGTATATTAGAAGATCTTTACATCCTGAATTGGATCTAAATATAGTTGTTCAAAAGCTTCATATTTTGTAGTGTAGGGGTTTTCTTCATTTTCTGATTTAGTTCTGTTCACTACACTGTGTTTGTGCTTCTAGTGCAGGCAACATTCTTGCCAAAACAATTTCTATGCATGACTTGTGAGTTAAATTTGGCAAGATAGTATTCCTGGGAACTGTTTTCATGGGGTTATGCTATTCTGGAGATCAAGAATTTATTAGAATGGATTTTGCCAAACTCTAACTGATTTCTGAGTTAAAGGACAGGCACTGGAGCCCTAATGTACTGTCATCAACTTTTGTAAGAGTTTTTAATACCAGATCTGACTTTGGAAGGCATATAGGAAAACTGCAATGTGCCCATTTGAAGATTTTATTTTCCGCGCAATCTTTCTTGTTTAAACGGGCCTTTATTTTGTATTTCTGGTGCACATGTCTAAGGAAGAGCAGCCTCCTATAATTTCTCTTCATCACTCTGCTATGAAAATACTGTAATTAGTGGTCATGGACCACCAGTGAGCGCTTAGAACCAAAACCTTTTTGAAGATAAGGTGGTATCCTAGGAAAACCTGGAGAAGAAAACACTTAAAAGGCTTTTGAGGACTAGTTACACTAAATGACTTTATAAAATAGGCCACAGCCTGCAAGACACTGTCCAGTCCCCTAAAAACTGTGTTACTTAGAAGGGTAAAATGTCCATCAAAAGAGGAGCACGAGGTATTAAAGTTCAGAGTAAAAATTCATTCCACAAAAAGGGAGTGAGAATGTCTTGAAACCTTCAGTTTGAAGTCAGCAAGAGAAATGGAAGGAAAAGAAAGAATAGGATTTATTTCAAAAGATTTCTCTTAACATTTACTTTCCTACTCTTCATGTTTGGTGGAGCTTCCTATTTATTTATTATAGAATGAAAAAAAGAAAGTAGTAAGAAAATATGTATTTTGTAAAGCAAACATACATGTATGTAATGTAAACAAAGTTTAATTTGTCATTCTTTGATAAATATTTACAGTGTTTCTCAAGGTTTATTTCTGAACTAAAAGAAAATAGGAAAACCTTTATATAGAAAATCAAAGTTCAGAACAATGATAGTTTTCTAAATTTCTACCATAAAGGCTTTGTTCCAAGATTCCACATGAGCCTCTTCTGTTCCATATATTGCAAGTGTGTGGGAAACATTCAGTGTTCGAAAAATGTTTCATGGAAGAGAAGTTTACTGTTTGACTTCAGCTTATCCCACCAGTCCGCTGTGTATGTTTGGTTTCAGCACAAAAGCCAAGGAAAGCCACATTCAAAACCCTAATAGTTGAATATTCTACCTCTGATACTGACTTAAAATAGATGCTATGGAAGGCAATACAAGGGCATCATAGACAAAAAAGAGAAATATTTCCGTGACTGCATGCCAAGGGTGATATTTGTACTAAGCTACATGTATAATATTTTTCATGATCTGAAATGTGAGCTTAAATTAACTAAAACCATTAAATGCCTAAATATGATCTTACTGCAGTTCTAATTGATGTTGTTAATGTGTGTTCAGATAACTATTTTTAGAAAGGAAAAAAAGTGCTAGTTCTGTCTTAAACTTTTTGGAACATTCTGATATTTTTTTAGTGTGATTTTTTAAAAGTCTTTATATTTGCATTTCATTATTGTAATCAGAGCTTCTACTTAATTTGATCCTTCTGCTGAACCCCAAAATTAAAAATGTGTATATTTAATGGTGAAAATAAATCTGAATGCCAGATTCTTTCAGTTAATTATGAAATCAATGAGATTGGAAGGAACTTTCCAACAAGGTGATGAGAGAAATTATGGTAAGTGTATCCAAAAGATCACATAAGCCAACCATATCACTGTACCGAACAAAGTAACATAATTGAATAATTTTTTTTGTTATGGATGTACTAGAGTCAGTCAGTACTACAGGTCATTAATAGATGAAGTTCAGCTTTGTATTACTTACATAATGGGTATAAAATCAATACTGAATGCTTAATAAATTTCTTTCTTTCCATTATGCTATTTACATTAGTTGATGGAGTGAAAATGATAATGACTTAAAATGAAATGTTCTCCAATTTAGGAGAAATATAAACAATATGAAAAAAAAAATTAGTATGACATGGAACCAGTTGTTCTATTTTCCTTAATTGTCATGTATTCTGCCATGTTCTTTATCTGCTTACTGAATTTACAACTAGCACAGCAGGTTGTGAATTTTTAATAGGATCTCTTCAAGGAAGGAAAAGGTCAGTATTAACATAAAAATCTTCTTTAAGAATTGTGGTGCAAATGTTTCTTAACAGAGAGCAGGTGTTGCTGCAAAACTAAAATCTGCCATGACAGCCAAGTTAAAAGATTCCTGGAGCTAAGTTAGGAACAAAATGCCTCAGTATGACACCATGACTGCCAGTCAATGGTGACTGAAAATAACTTTTTCTTGTTGGTATTAAACATGTCTGTTGCATGCAGAATGATTTAATACATAATTATTATTTAAAAACAACAACAACAACAACAACAACAACAACAAAACCCCTTTTCATTACTTTTAAATAAAACGCTCTTATATTTCTTCCTTTTCAGCTTCATTCTGACCAGGACAAGGGAGATGGATCTCTCAAATACATTTTGTCGGGAGATGGGGCTGGTACTCTTTTTATAATTGATGAGAAAACAGGTGACATTCATGCTACTCGGAGAATTGACAGGGAAGAGAAAGCATTTTATACCCTGCGTGCCCAAGCTATTAATAGAAGAACTCTGAGACCAGTGGAACCTGAATCTGAGTTTGTCATCAAAATCCATGACATCAATGACAATGAACCAACATTTCCGGAAGAAATTTACACTGCTAGTGTTCCTGAAATGTCAGTAGTGGGTGAGTGCTTTATACTGAAGCACAAATGCCTGTTCTATGTTACTTGATGAATAATTTCCCCATCCTCTGAAAAGCCAGTCATGTTCGAAATTCTACCTGAGAGGTTAAGTATTTTTCATTTTGGTTTGTTTGTTCAAATTTTGGAATTGCATCCAGAAACAGATTTTTGTGATTTGAGATCTATTTACTTAGAATATTCAAATTATTGATTTACAATGATTTGGAATACAAAATAAATAGAAAGTAGTTAATGGTGAATCACCCTCCTCCTAAAGAACTGTTAGAATAAATCACTAAATTAGCTTCTTAAAAGCTCAATGAATTTTTTCTTTCATTTTCACTGGAGGTCCCCAGTGGTGATAAGCTCTGAATGGAGAGCTGTCTCCGCTCTCACTCTTTCTGTGGCTGAGGAGAGTTATATGTTTACTCATGCTGTTGATGCACTGCCTGAAGATAGATACCCTCTTTATTCTCTTTGCTGTCAGTTTTTTAGTGTATGGACAAATCATCCCGTGCTTTTGGTTCCTCCCTTAACTCACTCATGAGTGGCAGTTTCAAGAATCTTAAACAGCTGTTTGAGTTAATCTTTCTTCTGTTTGCAATGTATTTTCAGTTCCTATTTTATCTACAAAGTTGTGGCCTGGATCACGGCAGCTGGTCAGATTCATAAACAATAGCATTTTAGAATATGAGCTATTATTGATTAGTGCATACAACTCTTAAGAAGAATTTTGAAAAGCTTAAAAATATATCAAGTCTCTTTTTAAAAATTAATATTCACTTATTCATTGTATAACTGTAGGTATAATACTAATTTCTAAATATTCAGGAAACACACAAAAACTTCAATAC